AGGAACACACAAATAGAATGCAGGACCTTATCCAGAGAAGCAGCAGCGCCAGAAATGGAGAAAGAGATGGAGGCATGGAGAGGGGGCGCGGCTGAGGACTCTAGGTCATCAACTAAGAAGAGAAGGACTAAGAACTGGTGGCCAGGAGCAGACTTGCAGAATGTGCCCTTTGGAGATGTAAATTATTACATATGCCTGAGTGGGGGAAAAAAAAAAAGTGATTGGCAGAGACAATGACACGGAGAGATGGAGCTGCTGGGGACTTTAGACCCAGAGAGGGAGAGGGGCTATGTGTGTGGGTGTGTGTGGGTGCTATGGGGGGAGGCAGGCTTGCAGGGTATACTCTTTGGTTGGATGATGATGCATGGAGGAGATTGTAACCATGGCAATGAAATGATATAGCATAGAACGAATGTAAAACTAATGTTCTCCCATGTAAACTATCACATAATTCACAATAAAACATTAAAAACAAAACAAAACATTGCTTGTGCTTTTTTGTGCTAAGAGTGTGAAAATGCTCCCATGTTTTCTTCTAAAAGTTTATGTTTTTGACTCCTAACATTTAGGTTTGTGATCCATTTTGAATTAATTTTAAGTATTTTAAGTGTGGTCTGAGATAAAGGTCATTATTATTTTAATTTTGCATGAGAATAGTCAATTCTCCTAGCTCTACTTGTGCCTTCCAGCAGTGCAGACCGCACAGACCCAGGGCCATGCTGACATGTGTTTGAGGAAACTCAAGTTCCCTGAAGGCCTTGGTGTTCCATAAGAGCCCTGGTGATGCTGTGGGGTAAGCACTGGACTTCAACGTCCTCAGTTTGAACCCATCAGTCGCTTGTGGGAGAGCTGAGAGTTGCTACGATTTAGGATTGATGGGAGGCTGAGAGTTGCTACGATTTAGGATCGATGGGAACATTGAATGGTTTAAAATTAAGAAAGCTGTGTGACAGGGTTGTATTCTTTCACCATACTTATTCAACCTGAACCTGTATGCTGAGCAAATCATCTGAGAATCTGGGTTATATGAAGAAAAATGTGGCATCAGGATTGGAAGAAGACTCATTAACAACCTGCGATATGCAGATGATACATTCTGGCTTGCTGAAAGTGAAGAGGACTTAAAATATTCACTAATGAAGATCAAAGAGCACAACCTTTGGTATGGATTGCACCTCAATGTCAAGAAAACAAAAATCCTCACCACTGGACCAATAAACAACATTCTTATCAATGGAGAAAAGATTGAAGTTGTCAAGGACTTCATTCTTCCTGGATCAACTATCAACACTCATGGAATCAGCAGTCAAGAAGTCAAACGACATATTGCATTAGGCAAATATGCTGCACGAGATCTTTTTAAAGTGTTGAAGAGCAAAGATGTCATCTTGAGGACTAAGGTGTGCCTGACCCAAGCCATGGTGTTTTCAATAACCTCATATGCATGTAAAACCTGGACAATGAATAAGGAAGACCGTGGAAGAATTGATGCATTTGAGTTATGGTGTTGGAGGAGAATATTGAAAGGGCCATGGGCTGCCAAAAGAACCAACTCTGTGTTGGAAGAAGTGCAGCTAGAGTGCTCCTTGAAGGCAAAGGTGGCCAAACTTTGCCTCTCATACTTTAAACATATTGTCAGGAGGGACCAGTCGCTGGAGAAGGATATCATGTTTGGTAAGGTGGAGGATCAGAGAAAAGGAGAAAGACCCCCAGAGAGATGGATTGTCAAAGTGGCAGCGTCAATGGGCTGAGCATGGCAACAATTGTGAGGTTGGCCCAGGATTCGTTCTGTTGTGCATAAGGTAGCTATGAGTCGGTACCGACTCGATGGCACCTAACAACAACAACGATGGCAGTGGGTTAGTTTTTGGTTTGTGTCTCCTTAGTTTCTTTTAGTGACACTTTCCTCCTTGCCTGGGCTTCTTTCTCCTGGGTACTCTCCGCGGTACTACCACTCCCAGCATGCAAAGCGCGGGTCGGCCCTCCGCGAGGGGGACACGTGGGTTGCGTCTGGTTGTGCAGCCGCGTTGAAGTGTTGAGCCACTGACTTGGTGGCAAAATCGGCTCCTTTCTCCCTTTTTTCAAGGCTTTGACCTCCTCGAGAGCCAAGCCAGCCAGCCTCCAGCCAAGGGACATCCGCACTTAGCTACGCCCTCCGCCTGCACCGTCACTGGTCTGGGTCAGACTCGTTTCTTCCGGGACCAACTCTTGAAGACCAACCAGAGCCGCGAGTGTTGCAGGTTGGGCCAACCAGAGGCGAAGTTGGGAGCCGGGCGGACGGCGGGAAAGGAAGAGAGTTTGTTTCTCTTGGAAAAGGTAGCGTTAACGAGTTGATTCTCCAGGAAACCTGAGGCGTTATGGCTGGATGCGGAGATACCGGCTCCCCCTCTGGGTATCCAGCTCCAGCCTCAGTCACCATGTCCCAGGCCCCTCTGGACTCCTCACCTCCACGCACCAGCTGCCTGGACCTGTGGAGGGAAAAGAATGACCGGCTAGTTCGACAGGCCAAGGTAACGCTGTTGCTGGGACCATTGTTAGCCCAAGCTCTCAGAAAGTGCTTTTGAAGCAAAATTACCCCTGCCTTTGGGGAGGGGCTGAACTTGATTACCCCAAAGAGTCAGAAATGACTGCAGAATAGCCTCCCTTACCAGTGCCACAAGGGGAGGTGAAGGAACTGATGCTCAGTGACACCCCTCCTTTCTACATTCCGCAGGGATCTCGGCAGTCAGGTTTGTTGCTAAGGCAACAGCAGTTGGCTCAGGATGCACTGCAAGAGTTCAGGGAACTCCTTCAGAATCTACAGGGTAAGCAAAGGTCCTTCCTAGGCGGATGGATCAGTTCCTCTCTGACCTCAGAGACCAGTTCCTCTTCTGCATTTTGATCACTTGGGGCAGGGAATTCTATTTAAGGCACAGACCAAACTTGGGTAGAGTTGGTTGAAATGGTGATTCCTTTCCTCCTTACACACACACCCCCACACTCTGGCATTTAAAGAAGTGATTTCCAGGATGGTCTGATGTGACAACTTTCTGACCTTTCCAGACCCCTTGTTCAGAGGATGGGCTCTTTATTGAGGCTGTTTTAATTGCCATGGGGGTGATCTCTGGGTTGGGATCTTATTTGGGGAGGTTCTGATGGGGGCTAGTCAGTGAGACCTGCTTTTGTTGCTCTAGGGCTTCCTGCGGCTGTTTCTAATCTCCCCTTGGAACTTACTGTGATCTGCAACTTTATTACGCTGAAAGCGAGCCATACCCAGGGTTTCACTGAGGACCAGGCCCAGATTATCCAACAGGGCCTAGAGAGAGGTGAGGAGCAAAGACTGACTCCCATATTCCTGCCAGCCGCAGACAGGGTTTAAGCCCTTTCAGGGAAATGGGAGAAACACTGTAATCCATCACCTTCTTTGATCCTCCTCATACCTTCACACCAGGTTGATAAATTCTAATTGTGACTCATGGGTTCCTACAGAAGAGAAGAGGAAGATAAAGGGCTGTGTGTGGAGGGGTTGATGAAGTCCCAACTCAGCTGTTTATGCATGTCTTACAGTGCTGGAGGCCCAGGAGGGGCTAGGACCCAAGCTGAAATTTGGACTCAGGGAGCTGTGGGACTCTGTCCTTCATGAGTCCTCCCTTCTTCCTGAGCTGCTTCCTGCCTTACACCACCTGGCTGGCCTTCAGGCTGCCTTCTGGCTGAGCTCTGATTGTTTTGGGGACCTGACCTTGCTGCTGCAAATGCTTAATGGCAGCCAGGTAATAGGGGAAGTGACCCGGATTAGAGTAACCCTGGCTGCTATAGCACCACTATGTTCTGGAAAGGCTGCTGGGTTGATGGTCAGAGACCTGGAATTCCTGAATGACCTTGTTCTGTTTGGACACTCATGGAGGAATTCTCTTGGAAGTGTTTTTATGCCTTAATGATCTTGGGTGGGGTTAGGGTTCTTGTGACCTTGCTCAAGTCATTTCCCAGTCTCAGTCTCAATATTTCAGACATGGTACCTTGCCCCACATCCTTGTGGACTTATCCTGAGTAAGAAGGTGAACTAGAATAGATCATCACTGCTTCAGGTTTTTCTTCCCTTTATTCTTTCCTCATAGCTATCTACCACTTAGAATTGTGGGAGCAGGGATCAGAAGGACCCCAGAGCTTAAAGTTCAGCAAGGCTAGACCGAGACAGAAAGGAGGTGGTTATGGACTTGAAGTCTTTGGTCATCCTTCTCTCCCCAGAACGGAGCCTCTGCGGATCTGCTGCTGCTTCTAAAGTCTTGGAGCCCCCCATCTGAGGAGTCAGATGCTCCACTGACCCTGCAGGATGCTCGGAGTTTAAAAAATGTCCTCTGGACAGCATCTGCCCTCCGTCAAGGTTAGCTATTAACCTGGCTCATCCTTTCCTTTTTACTCCCTGTCTCAGGGGCCCTCTGGGCTCATGCCCTTTCAAATGTTATTCAGCCTTGTGAAACCTGTCTTGGTTATCTAGTGCTGCTATAACAGAAATACCACAAGTGATGACTTTAACAAGCAAATTTATTCTTGCACAGTTTAGGAGGCTAGAAGTCTGAATTCAGAGCTCTGGCTCTGGGGAGAGGTCACTGTCTCCTTTTAGCCTCCATAGACCTTGGAGGTCTTCTTGTGTCTTGGCATCAGTTTTTCCCTAGATCTAGGAGCTTCACAGTGCAGGGCACAGGTCCAAAGGGTACACACCACTCCTGGACTCCTGGATCGTCTTTGTTAGTGATAGTAGGTCTTCCTTTGTGCACTTCTCTTTCCTTTTAGCTTTGTAAGATAATAGATTTTGCAGACTATACCCCTGGGAAGCTCCCTAACATCTGATAGTGTTGTGATGGTATTAAGGGTACTGCATCCCACCCTGTATCCTCCTATTGGTTTATCACATCCTGGGGAATCATCACATAACTGCCAACCCACTGAGAATCATGACCAAACCAAGTTGACATATCTTTTGGTGGCACATAATTCAACCTATAACTGAACTTTTCTGCATTCTTGTTTTCCATCACATTCATCCTGTCCTATGGGCCTCTTTAACCTCTTACCCTGATTTCCCTCAGGCCTCCAGGAGCTGATCACAGGAAGCCTACCTGGGGCACTGAGCAGGCTGCAAGAAGCAACGTTAGCTGTCTGTTTCCGGCCTGTGTTGGTCCAGGTGTACACAGCGCTGGGAACCTGTCTTCGTAAGATGGTAAAGACAGTCCTGGGGTTGATGAGGGGAAACTGAGTGTTATGAACAGCTTTTTGCTTTGTAGGCGTAGCTTACGCCTGTGTCCTCCCACCCCTTAGGGCAACCCACAGAGAGCACTGTTGTACTTGATTGCAGCCCTGAAAGAGGGATCCCTCTGGGGTCCCCCACTTCTTGAGGCCTCCAGGCTATATCGGCAACTGGGGGACACAGCAGCAGAACTGGAGAGTCTGGAATTGCTGGTTGAGGTAAGGAACTGTGTCAGAAGACATGGGGGTGGAAGACTACTGAGGTGTTTGAGTTAGAGCAACCAACACAAGATACAAGTATAAGGAAGTATATGTTGTAGTTAAGTGCAGTTGAGTCAGTTCCAACCCATAGCAACCCTGTATAGGGTTTCCAAGGAGCGGCTGGTGAGCTTGAACCGCCGACCTTACAGTTCAAATGGCTTTGCAATCTGGTGCATTAACCCAGGACTCCATAAGAAAGTATGGTTCCCCAAAATTATATACTTTTTCCTTTTGTTTAGGCCTTGAGTGCCACCCAGAGCTGTGAAGTCCCCCAGCTTCTTATTGAGGTGGAATTGCTACTCCCACAACCTGACCCAGCCTCGCCCCTTTACTGTGGCACACAGAGCCAGGCTAAATACCTGCTAGCAAGCCGATGCCTACAAATGGGCAGGTGCAGTTCACCTGAGCGCTTCTTCTTACTTATAATGCCTTGTCACTTTTGTCTTCAGTTCTTGGGATTGGGGGGATGGAGTATGTAGTAGTGGGCTATAGGTTCTCATTCCTTGTTCTCTTGCCTTGCTGCTGGACCTGAACTGAGAACCCTTCATTCAGGCACTAACCTTTTATGTCTTTAAAATTCTGAAGCAATCCTTTCTATACCTTGGGAAGATCCATACTGAGCCAGGATTGGATTTCCTGGACACCACCCTGCCCAATCCCAGTCTGCTAGCTAAGGGAACCTGAGCGACTAGCTAGAAGACTAAGGTAAGGCTCATTGATTCTGCCTCTCAGGGCAGAGGAGGCTGCAGAGCATTACTTGGACCTGCTGGCCCTGTTGCTTGATGGCCTGGAATCAAAGGTAAATGTGTCTTCAAGGAGCTTTGCAATGGGCTGGGAGGGCTGGGGTCTCTTTTGGGGTAGAGTAGGACAACTATTTCTGGTTTTCTTCTACAATCCAATCTGGATGGTGGGAGTGGTATGGGTGGAAATCACACTGGGAAGGCTTCCCAGACCAAGAGGTCCAGAGAAACAAGTTATGGATAGTTGTTGCATGGTACTAAACCCTGTTAAAGATGTTGGAACCGTGGCTCATGCCTCTTCAAGACACTAGACTTTCCTTCCACCCCAGTTCCCCCCACCCCTTTGTCCTTCAGGACCCAGTATGCCTGAGGTGTTCTTGGAGGCAGCAGCTGCACTGATTCAGGCAAACAGAGCCCAGGATGCTTTGACTGTATGTGAGGAGCTGCTCAGCCGAACATCATCTCTGCTTCCCAAGATGCCCTGGATATGGGAAGATGTCAGAATTGGAGCTAAGAAGCCTATACACTACCCACTCTGGGTCTCTGCCACCCATCTGCTTCAGGGCCAGGCCTGGGTAAAACTGGGGGTCCAAAAAGAGGCAGTTAGTGAATTTAGCCGGTGAGTTCAGGAAGCTCTGGGGGAATGTGGGGTGATGATTTTCTGATTGGGACCAGAGTTGGAAGCTCTGGCCTCACCTAGCTGTCCCATAGTCTCTTAGGTTGAACTATTTTAGCTCTACTCCATTCCCACTTCAGATGCCTTGAGTTGCTCTTCCGGGCCACACTTGAGGACAAAGAACAAGGTAATCTAGACTTAATTTTCATCTTCCCTCCTGGAAGTGGTAATGATAGAAATGGTTTCTTTTTCCATGTGTCCCCTTAAGGGAAGGGGACTCTGGGCACAAAAAGAGATCGAAAGGGTCTTTGGGTTGTTGTGTCTGTGTGACTGGAAGCCATTTTGTGACTTTGTGGTGGTCCCCAGGGGCTGCCTCCAACTGTGAGCAGAGGTGCAGACCAGATGTGGCACTGACACAGCTTCGATTAGCTGCCCTGGTTAGTCGTGGACTGGCATGGGTGGCCAGTGGCCAGGATACCAAAGCCTTGCAGGACTTCCTTCTCAGTGTTCAGATATGCCCAGGTTTGTATAAGTGCATGACATCAGATATGCAAAAATATGCATGGACAGAGGGGCTCAGGGATGATATTGGTCATGGATGCAAAGATGGTATTCCCAAATGGAAGGAGTTGAGTGAGATTGTGCTGTATATACCTAGGGATATAATCATATACAAATGTGTATGCAGGGCCCCCAAATCTTCTCAGTGTCCTTAGACACGAAGACAATGGCCATACTGAGGATGGGTTGGGTAGGAGCAGCCAGATGTCCTGGGCAGGTGAAAGAAGACAGCTTCTAGATTTGTGGGTGACATTCAAGGTGGACCCTGAGATAGGAATGGCTGGGAATGATCTCTCTCTAGGTCCATGCGCAACTATAGTCAAGACACTTCCCCTCTTCAGGCCTCGGTTTTCCCCTTTATAAAATGATATCTAAGTCTCTGTTATGATCTAAGGCTCTCTTCTCTGGGGTGGGGATATAGGTAATCGAGATGCTTCAATTCACTTGCTTCAGACTCTGAGGAGGCTAGATCGGAAGAATGAGGCCACTGCTCTCTGGTGGAGGCTGGAGGCCCAAAGTAAGCTGCCACAGGAAGATGCCACATGGTGAGACTGAGGTCACTGACTTGTGACACTTGAAGTCCTGGAACCTCAGGCCTATTGGAGGTGGTGGGAACGAAAGAGAAGGGATGCCTACTCAACTTCCTGCCTATTCACTCTGAAGGATCTTCCTTCTTGCCCTCCAGGTCTCTTCCTTTTTACCTAGAAACTTGTTTGAGCTGGCTCTGCCCTCCTGACAGGGAAACCCTCTTGGAAGAGTTTCGGACATTTCTGTTGGAGCCTTCTGATCTGTAGCTGCCATGTTTTCTAGACCAGCTTGACCTGGGACCTGCGGAGGCCATCTCTCTGGGGGAGAGATTTTTTCATTTACCATCTATGTAATTCCAGTGTTGGAGAGGTTGTTGGTAGTCCTGTTAAAGTCAACCTAGTAACTGCCATCTTGGTCCCAGAGGAAACTCTCCTTCACCCCCCACAACAAGACATTGACATTGTTTATGACACCTTCCCCCCCGTTTTCTCATTTCTTATAATTGAATAAAATCTCACTTTTATCTCTTGTCTGCCTATAATTGTATATGCTTGAATGAGAAGGTGTGTAGCTTCTAGATCCAGTTGGATACTAATTCTAGAAACCCCTCTTCTAAAATCATTTCCTAGTGCTATGATGGAGTCCTGGTGTGGCACAGTAGGGTAAATACTGGACTGCAAGGTAGGTCTGAACTGCAAGATTGACAGTTCAAATTCACCAGCCATTTCTCAGAAACTCTATACAGGGCCACTATGTGTCAGAACCGATTCAGTGGCACTAATCAATCAGTGTAATGATACCTGGGGTGTCTTATGAATTTGAAGTCTGTGGCTGAAGCCAAGGGAATACAGGACTCCTTACTTAGGATTTTTGTCCTTCCCCATTGCTGAAAAGCAGAACTCCCAAGTCCAAGGTCCTGTGCTAGGTGACAGACTGAGTGCAATTGGGTCTAGAGAATGGTTTGACAGCCCTACTAGGGCAAGGTTGGGTGCTTGATACTGAGAGGAGGGACAGGCAGACATTTACATGTTTCAGAGTGCCTACCCACCCTCTCCCTAATCCCAAATTCTAGAGCTGTACCTATTTCAGTCAAACGTGTATGTGTGGGTAGAGGGCAATGAATTGAGTCAGCATATCACTAAGAGTTGCTTACTGATTATAGTCAGGGTCAGCTGGTGCTTTGGGATCAAGGATTTCAAATTCCAGTCTTAGTTATCTAGTGCTATTATATTGGGAATACCACAAATGGATGGCTTTAACAACTCTCTCACAGTTGAGGCTTGAAGGCCAAAATCAGGCTCTAGGAGAAGGCTATCTCTCTGTGGCCTGGGGAAATGTTAGGATCTTGGCATCAGTCTTCCTCTGGATCTTGGAGCTTTACAGTGCAGGGACCCCAGGTCCAAAGGACACCCTCCACTTCTGTATCTTCTTTCTTGGTAGTATTAGGTCCCTCTCTACTTACTTCTCTCTCCTTTTGTCCCATGTAAAATAAAGTGTGGCAGACCACACCCCTGGGAAACTCTCTTACATCTAATAGGGTTGTAATTGGATTAAGGGTATGCTGTTGTTAAATTCTGAGTCCTACCCACTCTGTATAGGAATTCCAAAGTGCAACTGGGGGATCTGAACCACCAACTTTGTAGTTAGCAGTCTAGGACTTATCCTACAGCATCACACCAGGACTCCAAGGGTATTTTGTTTTGAAGTGCTGTTGAGTCAGTTCTAACTCATAGTGACCCCTGTATAGGGTTTCTGTGAAGCGGCTGGTGGGTTTGAACTACTGACCTTGTGGTTCAAGCCAACCTTGCGATTCAAATGGACCTTGCAGTCCAGTGCTTATCCTACAGCATCACACTAGGACTCCAAGGGTATTATGTTGTTATTGTTAAGTGCCATCAAGTTGGTTCTAACTAAAAATGCCCAGTATAGGGTTTCTAAGCAGCTCTGGTAGCGTAGTGGTTACGAATCGGGCTGCGAACTGCAAGGTCAGCAGTTCAAAACTACCAGCTGTTCTACGGGAGAAAGATGAGAATTTCTGCTCCCGTAAAGACTTATAGCCTCGGAAACCCTGCACTGGGTTGCTGTGAGTCGGAACTGACTCCACGGCACATAACAACAAATAGGGTTTCCAAGAAGCAATGGGTGGGATGAAACTGCCAAGCTTGTGGTTTGCAGTCCAGTGCTGATAATACAGCACCACATTATAGCCCACTCATAATCCTTTTATTGGTTTATGACATCAGATCACGTCCTGAGGGATCATCATATAACTGCCGAACCACTTAGAATCATGACTGTCAAGTTGACACATAATTGCTGGTTGTTGTTAACTGCGGCTGAGTCAGTTCCAACTCAAAGTGACCCTGTCTAAGGTTTCTGAGGAGCAGCTGGTAGGTTTGAACTGGTGACCTTGTGGTTCATTGAATTATCCTGCAGTGCCACACCAGGACTCAGTATTTGGGGGACACAATTCAACCTGTGACACCCAGTATGTAATTTTCTGATATTTTGGATTCTAATAAATCGGGTGTTTTGTGGTTTCCCTTTGGCCCCTCTTAAATTATATCCCCTCTTTCCTGCTGTTAAGTGCCACCCTGTATAAGTTTTCCAAGGAGCAACTGGTGAGTTTGAACTACCAATCTTGTGGTTAGCAGTCCACACCAAGACTCCTTTCCCCTACAACCATTTAATATTAATACCCCTGTAGAATCCTGGTGTGGCTCTGTAGGATAAGCACTGGACTGTTAACCATAAGGTTCAAACTCACTGGAATCGACTCCACTGACACTTAGCAACAACAGCCCTTGTAGTAAAAGGAGCATAAATTCCTAAATTCTGATGAACTGTAAAGCCGGAGTTGGATGACCAGAGGCTGCAGGGACAAAAGGGTAGGGTAGATTAAGAACTGGAATGCTAATCAAAGGGCTCAGACCAGAGGTGACTGGAGCCAGCATTTTGAAGGAGCAAAGTAAAGTGCTCCAGAACTTAAAGTCATAGGTTAGGCTTTAAGAAGACCTTCAGGTCTGGGGAGAAGATGGGCATGTGTATTACTACAAGAGTACCAAACTAATGTTGCTAGTTGCCGATTCTAATTCACAATGACCCCAAGTGTGGCAGAGTTGTTAAGTACCGTAGAGTTGGCTCCGACTCACAGCGACTCTGTATAGGGTTTTCCGAGAGCAGCTGATAGGTTTGAACCGCTGACCTTGTAGTTCGGTGCCATTGAGTCGGTACCGACTCCTAGCGACCTTATGTACAGCAGAACGAAACACTGCCCAATCCTGGGCCAACCTCACTACTGCTGCCACGCTTGAGTCCATCGATGCTGCTAGTCCAGTGCTTATCCTATAACGCCACACCAGGAGTCCAATACACAAATAAAAGGTTTCAAGCCATTGTGCCAGCTTCTTCCAAGTGGATAAACTCGGGAGCCAATGAACTAGAGCCAAGTGGGAGAGTCCGCCTCCAGGTATTAAAGGCTCGCCTTCTCCAGTCAATCTGGCCCCATTCTTCTCGTTGATTGGTCGAGAATCTCAATCCGTCGAGGAAGCGTAGCACCGTAGCCAATTGACTTGGCGTTACTAGGCGTGTTGCAGCCCAGAGGCGGGAGTCAGGCCGCAAATGAATTTCTTGATTGGCTCTGGTCCACGGGTTGCTGGGGAGAGGCGCAGAGAGGCGGGCAGGGGTCCCTAGCGCAGACGGTGATTGGCTGAGGCGAGAGCGGCTCTCCTTCCGATGATTCGGCTCTTCTCGGCTCAGTCTCAGCGAAGCGTCTGCTGCCGTCGTGAGCCGTCGTATCACCCCTCGCAGGTCCGGAGCCAGCGTCTCCCGCCGGCCCACCGCCCCAGTGCCGCTGGGAGGAAGCGAGAGGGAGGTTGCCTGCGGGTTTGTAGCCGCTGCTCAACCCCCGCCTGGGAGAGCTGAGCCCCGGCCCAGTCGGTAGCCCGCTACCCCTCGTAGCCGTTACCCGCGGGCCGCCACAGTCGCCGGCCGGGAGAGGCACGCGCCATGGCCTCCGGAGCTGAGTGAGTATGTGTGCGCGTGCCCGTCCGTCCGCCGCGGGTGCGCGCGCCGGCGGGACCCGCCGCGGTGGGTAGGCCCGGCCCGGACAGGCCTAGCGCTGGGAGTATCTGAGGTGGAAACAGGGAATGAGGGAGGCAAGAACGAGAGGAAGGGGAGAATGAGGGACCGCGGGCCTGGTGGGGCCTGGCTGCGCCCCCTGGGCAGGACTTGCGTTGGGCCCGGGTCGGGGCCTGGGCCAGATCGTGCTGTGTCATGCAGGCCCGGCCCGGCCCGATTGGCTTTCTCCGAACGGTTGTCCGGGCCTAGTGAGGGCTTTGAGCCCACACTGCCGGCGCGGAGCCCCGAGCATTGTGGCACCCGTCAGGGATCGGCCTGCCACCCTCGGAAGGCCTTCGGCCCCCAAGAGAGCAGGCCCCGCGTGCTGAAGTCCCCGGCTGGGCCCGGTGGGCGTGGACTCGGGGCCACGTGAAGGCCCCAGGAGCCCTGTGACCCAGGAGGCGGAGGCCGAAGCTGGCCGAGCGGGGAAGCGCCCGGCGGCCCGGCCCGGCCTGTGTACGGCGTCTCCTGCCACCCGAGTAGACCGGGCAGTTTCGGGGGGGTGGGGTGGGCCCGCCTTTGCTCTGGCCGCCGCCTCCTTGAAGGCCTCTTGTGATTGAGAAGAGAAAATCTAAGGCCGCTCTCCTAGATGTTGTGACCTGGAAGAAGGGAAATTTTCCTTTGTGTTTTGTTTTTTGCTGAAATGTGAATCACAGTTCGTGTTTTGTGGGTCTTCCTAGGTTTCAGCTTTTGTGTTATGAAGGTTAGCGTGGCCCCAATTCTTGACCCACACACCCCTTTCCCCAAGCTGTTACGTTGAGAAATTTTGGGCCCTGAGACTTTGGACACAACACACATCCCCCATAAAAGAATTAAAGACCACCTCAGCCCATCTCAGTTTCCAATCAGAAGCTCTAGGAAATGCAACTCATGGGCAAATCACCTTCTTGCCTCGAAGGGTTTCGTTTTTTGAGGTGTATTCTGCATTCTCAAGTTTCTGAGTTGGGATGAAGTTATTACTCAGCCCCTGATTTAAAAGGACCAGTCAGTGTTTTCAATGCTAAAAATAAAAATCTCAAATTCTTGGAACCTGGCATCAAAGATGCACATTTAAAGCACATCTTGATGACTCTTACCCCGAAGGCCTTCCAAGTCGCCTTTGACCTGTTGAGGTTCTGGAAAGGGCCTGACTCATGCAGAAGATAAT